AAATAAAACTGTGAAAGCGAAGGATAGAGTCAGCAAAAAAAAAAATACACAAACAATCAGTATAATTATGTTGCAGATCTAACGCTTCCACATTTTGCACATTCCACATTGGAATCTGTTGAGTAAAACTGCTAATTAATTCATTTAACTTATAGTAGTCTTATATTATCTAGTGTCAAACTAACAACGAATATACAAATCTTTAATGGCATCTAGCTATAGGCAAGTGTAAGACCGCAATTCGGCTACTTCTAGCAAAGCGTAGACCCGTGTTAGGGAAGTCTAAAAACGATCTAAATAAAACTAAATTTATCTGAGGAATCCAACTCTATAGGCCCCTACATGTTGTGAAGCCACTATTTCCCTTGGCCAATCTGTTCAGTAATGCTATTACAATCCTACTTATGTGTTTAGGAATTCTTGTCTAAACTGAAACTATAATCAAATATACAAAATCCCTTTAAGGGCATTTTGCGCATAACGGAACTAAGTTGTAAGACCCGCTATTTCGGTTACTTCTAAGCAAGCGTAAGACCCATATGTCTAGGAAACTTCTAAAGAATTGACCTTAATAACAAAACTAAAATCCTATTCGGGCCACTTACGCTATTAAGGTTAAGTCGTAAGACCATTCCCCCCAAATAGCGCTAACTTCTAAGTGAAAGAAGACCTATTTGGAAACCAAGTACGGACGTACAACCAAAACTCAAACAATGATCGGGCCACCTCTAACAGGAGGTCCGTAAGTCCCACTATCAGGGCCACTTTCAAATGAAAGCCATAGCCCCTATCCAAATCAAATCATACTGGCAACTCCTAGGAAGCTCGTAAGCCCCAAAACTAAACAAATTAACGGGCCAACCTTCTAAGGAAGCCATAAGCCCCAACCTCAAATTAAACTAAACTAAATTAAATATTCACACAATTCCACATTCAGTCTATTCGGATCTCTAAGAAGGAGGCAAACCCATGGCTGCTAATCAGACCCTGGACACTACAACCAGGTTAGATTGTGGACTGACACGGTGTTATGCAGGTTGTAGACGTGAACCATGGGATCCTTGATCGGCGTACCTTCATAACCCCATAAATACGAATTTAATATATCTATTGCACATTTTACACTTTCTTGTTACCAAAGCCTAAATATTTTCATCCTTAATCGAAGTGCCTCTTCCTAATGCCGTTTAGAGGGGTAATTAACCTATGAGGCGCTTGCGCTTATAGGAAGCTAGAACCAGATCTAAATAAACCCTTGACACTACGCTCAGGGAAATCTGCGTTAATTGTTAAATTTAATCTACCTCTAGAAAAAATTAAAGAGAAACCATAAGTTCGTCGCAGAGCGGGATTCATATTCTGTATCTTTTAACGCGTTAAAGAAATGATTTTTCTGGAGCGAACAGATTCTCTGCGACTGCCGCTAGGAATGCATGTAAACCATAAAAGCATGTGCATTGATACGCGTTAAAAGAGATGATTATTTTTAGAGCGAACAGTAGCTCCCAGGCGAAAACACTAGGACGCCGACAAACCTCTGTCAAACCAACTCGCTGAAGTTGAAACTTTTCAACTCAGAAAGTTCTTTCGGTGGCCATCCTGTACGGAGCCTTTGATATAGGAGCTGTACCCGGAAAAACATCGAAGAGAAACTCCACATTCTCTATCCGGAGTAAACCAACCAACTCCTCAGAAAAAACATCAGCAAAACTTCCCGTAACCGACTGGGATCTCAGAAACAGAACCAACCTCCAGCGTCAGATCCCCACCACCGAATCCAAAAAAAACACTGGGACATCCTTTCCTCCACATTCTGCTCACCTCCAACGCCAGAAATCAACTGGAGAGAACACCTCGTAATCCCTGAATTACAACTCTCTCTCCGGCCCACAAGCAAAGCTCACTTGCTTTCTTCAGACAGTCAATCTGAGGGACTCATAGCCCGACTCAGCCAATCAATGCCCAAAAATCACGGCTATACCGAAGAAATCAAATCTCTTCCCAAAACAAAATCAGACTAGATTTCCACTCTTGCCAGCAATAATCAATCTGACACAAATAAAACTTGCCGGCAATCAACATTACTTCAGCCGGTTAAAATCACGAAAGAGAAACCAGACCAGAAAAAGAGAATCCAAGCATAAAGTCTCAAAACAGCCGCCTCGGACAGAAAAGAGTGACTAGCCTCCAGAGTCAAACAAAAACACGACAGGCCTGATCATAAATGTAAATCGTAACCTGTCACCACATCCGGAGCATCACGAGCCTCCTGCTGACTCAGGCGTAAACTCGTGGCCTGAACTGAGCAGGAGCCCTCAAGCAACAGACTACTTCTGCTCCCTTCTGCAACCGTAGGTTGGTCTCCGGCTGCTCCAGAACTAGTACTACCACCTCTCCCAGAAAATCCCTCAGGCGAGGAGAACAATCCTCGGTCTTCCTGCCGACTGACCCGGCAGGCTCTAACAAGAACCCTCTGATCGGCGCAACTCAGAACGCCGATCAGATCCACCTGCTGGACATTCTGCCAATCCTATGTCCAGCTGACCACATCTTTGAACACAGGACCAGCCATCCTGTAGCACTGGCCATGGTGTCGCCGTCCACAACTTGTTTGTTTTTTTGGTTACTTGGTTTATGGCACATTCATGTAGCGAGCACCGCTAGCCACCCTGTGACTGAACAGACCCGACACACTGCCGATAAAGATGATAACTAAGAGTAGCAACAACTAGTATTCAGTAGCCAGAGCAAATCTCTGCCACTTTCCTTCTCTCCCCCGGAATCTAACAGATCCACGATGACACCCAGGCACAAAATCTCCCATATGCACTCACGCAGAGGAGAACCGTTTATTGCCAGAAGCCTCGAGCACATGTCTCCAAATTCATTGGCATTCAAAGATGTGAGCATAACCCCGAGGCGCACGTGAGTTACGATTACCCACCGGCAAGCCGCGCCCACCGTAAGGCCTGGATTTGCCCAGAGTCTTACTCCTAAATCAAGTCAGTCACTAACCAAAGCTCGTCCTTCTCACGGAGAGAGCTTCATGACGAAAAGATCTCAAAGACATGCTCTCTCATAACGTACCTTTCACATTTTCTGATTTCTGCTGAGGCTTGTTTTTGAGACGAGCTCGTCTATGAACCATGACCTGGATGGCCACTACTCAGCGCGGGGTTACCAGGAGGCTGCCTTTACCGAGCCCTCGAGTAAAATAGATCCATATCTATTTCGGAATCCCCTCAGAAATCTAACTCTGAAATTATGAAATTTTTTCCCTTTCTGATCTGTGGATTCCAGAGGAGTGGAGGATTTCGTACTCTACAGTTACAACGAGTTTCGGTCTTTCATACAAATTGCCTCCCAACGAGTTGGTTGTGTATTTTGGTGCAATGAATTCGTTGCAACATTCTTTGAATAGTCTGATTTATCTATTTCTTTATCTTTTCTCAGGTTATGGCTTTCAATTGGATCAGGCCTCGCTCAATGACTGATATAGAGCCTACTGAGGAGCACATTTGGATGGAGATTGATAGATGTGATTTCACGCATTCTGCTTCTATTAGAGATAGATTGTCATGGCATCAGGAGATGCTGATAGATAGAGATGCATATGCGGGGTTATTCATTCGATCACCTTGATTTCCTGTTTTTGATTCAGAACTTCCTGTAGGGTATGATCCTACAGACTGGGTGATTTCCCTCAGACTTCGCCACAGCGATGGTGGTTCTTTAGGTCGAATTGTTGAAGGCTTAAGTTATGGAACTCAGGATGTATTACAGCCTACTGCAGATCTTGCAGAGCATACTGGCACCATCAGATTACTTAGTTACAGCCTATCTCGTCATGAGATAAGAGAGCAGCAGTATGATTCAGTGTTCGGGAGTCCTTTTAGGATGTTAAAGGGTTATATTTCTTGGGCCCACCATGTACTGAGAGCACATCATGAGGTGCTCAAGCGGGCAGGGGTTTATAGAGCCATATACGCCTCGTTGTTTGATTATAGTCGGCTTTCCTACGGCTGGCTTCAAGCATTAGCTGAACACTGGGATAGTGTCACGAACACAATCTGGATCGGACCGAATGAGATGACAATAACTCTCTGGGATCTACAGTTGGTTTCTGGTCTACCCATTTTAGGCACCCTCTACGAGGAGTGTATTCCTCCAGATTATGATTTATTCAGTCGTCAGCCAACAGGTCATTTGAGGCGAGGGGAGTTTATGTACTTGGAGGATCTTCACCAGTGTTTAGCCCACTACTGTCGCCTTCAGAGACAGAGAGGTCGTCGTCGTGGAGCTATTGTTCCTTTGGATGTCTGGATTGAGAGTGTTTTTAGTCCAGGAGGCATATGTACTATTGGTTGCTCAACCCCATGACCCATTCAGTATGGGTCTTCAGTCTCCTGGGTTGTCTTCAGTTGGGAATTTTGAGCCAGAGTCAGTAGATGAGACACATCCCATTTTTGCCAGGGGAGTTTCAGAGCAGATGTCTTTGGAGGCTTTTGTAGCCACTTGGTTGTGCAGTTTTGTCTTTCCAAGTCAAGACAGATCTTTTCGTCCCAGTACGCTTTTGATGGCCAGCTTGATTGCTAGTGGGAGACAGGTTTCTTTAGCCCCGGCCGTACTCGCACAGATATATTATGGTTTTGGACAGATTTCTGCCTCTTATGGGCGTCGATAGCGTGTGGTTGAGGTACCATGGCATTATGTCCATGGATGGGTGCATATGCATGTAGAGGGAGCTTTCAGTTGTGCTGAGTGACCGGGCCACTATTCAGATAATTTCTTCCTCCTATTGATTCAGTTAGCCAGGGCGATCTCAGCTACAGATAGGGCCTGGATCGGATTGTTTTTCTTTGCACCCTTGTACGTGGCCAGTCGTTTAGATTGGTTTACAGGTCTCTAGTTGGAGATTTACCCTCCCAAAGTTTAGGGGTTTCATTGTTAGATTCTTTGACAGAGAGGGGCAGACCTACTTTGCTTTCCAGGAGCGGCTTTGTGCCTATTGCTTCTTACTTTGTCAGCATGAGACCTGGATGGCTTTGTTATAGGAGAGATTGCTCTATAGTTTTGGAGGGGTATAACCCTAATAGAGCAGCACGACAATTTGGTTTTGTTCAGGCCACTCACTTGGATGGACTTCCAGCACTTCCTGGGGTGATAGATCGTCGCCAATTGAGCTCTCTTTCATTTTCAGTTTGTCTTGAGGTGGCTTCCATGACTTGGGCTTTTCTCCTTCGACTTGGGACAGGTTCTAGCTTTTGTATAGCACCCGTAGATTCTCCTACTGGTATTTCACACTTGCGACTGGTCTGGATTCGTCACACATTTTCTTCCTTCTTTGAGCTGGGCTTTCAGAGATATAGTAGGAGGGTCAGGGGATCTAGACACCCGAGGGATTTTCTAGAGTCAAGAGACTGTGCCCCAGTATATGCAGAGTCATTTAAAGTTCGTGGTAGGAGAAGGAGGAGGAGCCCTGAACCTTCTGCCAGATGTGATGACCCCGGTATGTATATTTATATTATAAATTTATTTATTTTATTTTCATGCATATTTATATGATGTTTTGATGAAATTGCAGCCCTTTCGTATGGACGTAGGCCGCTTTCTCCTTCTTTTGATAGGGGTCGGCCTAGGAGCAAGACATTATACGAGCAGACATGTTACATATTTGTTTCATTTAAGTATTATATATTAAATTTAACATTTTTTTTTTGTAATGTAATCCCTTTGCTTGATTTTTAGCATCCTGGCAAGCTCCTGCTGATGCACCGGACATTTCACATACTCTTTCGGTCTCTCCCACTTTAGAGCCAGAAGGCTTAGATACTGCACATGCTTTTATGGATTTACATACATTCCCTTTTAGTGATACAGGTATTAATGCATGTTTATTATTATTATTTTTTCATTAATTGATTGAATAATAGATAGTTTGACTTTTTTTTTTTTTTAACTTAGGTGGTAGGCTTTCTCCTGAGCTACAGCTTAGTGGACTTACACCTGCTTCACCAGCTCCTTACACCAATTTGAGTCAGGCATTGAGCATAGGTAGCTCTTCACATCAGCCGTCATCGAGTGACTTGCATATAGGAGATCACTCAAGCACTGAGATCCCATCTATCACCGTTACTGCTTTTGGTGATGTTGAAGGTAAATATTTCTTACACACATGCTTACTTAGTAGCCTTTATTTGTTATATACATATATATGATTTTTTTTTAACTCCCATTCATATATGTATATATTAAATGACAGACCAGCGTCTTTTATAGATCACACCGCCGGTAGTCCTAGTGGACTTGTTGTGGAGCTGGTTGTTTCGTCTCCTACTCTTTCAGATTCTACTTGGGTAGTCGTTGGTGACTCGTTGGGAGAGCTTTCACTTGATGATCAATGTACTTGTAGTGGCTCTACCCAGTTACTACCCAGGAGTGATGCCGATGACACCACGACGGAGCTAGTCACCCACCCTTCCTTGACTCAGGTGGTCTCAGATTGTTCTTCAGGGAGTTCTTCACCAGACGTTACCTCCCACCAGAGTGGTTGGCGATCTGTAGCTTCTATAGAGGACTCTCACCTTTCAGGTATTATCTTATTTCAAATTAGCATTTCTTATCATATTGTATATATAAATATTTCGTAATGATAACTCCTTTCATGTTCTAGGTTTAGAGCTTTCATGTTTCGAGTCAAGATCTGTGTTTCGAGCTCATCGCTCTTTTAGTCAGCGGTGGCTAAGAGGAGAGCAGTATGCCGTTACTGCGCTACGAGTTTTACTACGGCGAGTAGACCTTAATGCTTTACCAGACTTGTTTAGTTTTCATATGGAGGCCTACTTACTTTTGGACTTTGCTGCCTCCTGTGGTCTACGAGATAGCCTTTTGCAGATGTGGGAGCTTTCCTATCTCACTGTTGAGTTCGGGTTACTTCAGCTAGACTATGCTTCTCGGAGGTTGTCTTACATAATTCTTGCTGATTTAGAGGCTGAGGCCCGAGCTACTTGGGATAGGATGAGGAGAGCTCGTTTTGATCTAGATTTTGGATTACAAAATTTGCATCACTGTCAGCAGGACATTTCTGGGGAGCAGATGGTGCTTATGGGTATAGAAGCTGAACTCAGAGCTTTGAAATTGAGGGAGAGAGTTCTTCTAGAGAGACGTGAGGAGGTTAGAGCAGTGGCTACCCATACCGAGGAGGACTTTTCTTTGATAGCTTCCGAGGTCAAGCATTTGGAGGATAAATTTTCTTTTTTCACTGAGGAGTTTGACTCGGCTCGTCGTCGGTTGGAGCTCGCACAGGAGCAGCGAGCGATATTGCAGGATCGTTTATTCAGAGTTAGACATCAGATCAGCAACATTCAATTCAGACTTTGACAGCTTCATTACCACATTCATGGTATTTATGCATATATTTATTTATAATTATGCATTAATTTTATAGTTTCTTTTCTTCTTCCTTTTTATTATTATTATTATTCTTTTTATAGCTCGACCCTTAGGTTTGTGAGCATAAGAACTTAGCAGTTCAGCCCTTAGGCTTATTAAACTAATGAATTCTAGCTCGACCCTAAGGTTTGTGAGCATAAAAGACTTAGCAGTTCGGCCCTTAAGCTTATTGAACCAATGAATTTTAGCTCGACCCTTAGGTTTGTGAGCGTAAAAGATCTCAGCAGTTAACTATAATGATAAATCATTAAGTCAATATGTAGTCTCATGATTTCTTTACATTATTTGGTAAAGGGGCATTATTATTTTTTTTTTATAAAAAAATTGCCTCCTGTATTACAGGAGGGAGTATAAGGTATCTATAACATTGCCTCCTATATTTCAAGAGGGAGTATAAGGTATCTTCTACCTTATATGATGATATAGATAAAATTGCCTCCTGTATTACAGGAGGGTGTATGTCATGTGTTCTTTGCATTGCAAAAGAACATGTAAAACTTATATCCTACATTGCAGGAATATATGTTAATCATTTCCTATCTTTATATGAGAGATTAAATATTATCTCCTACCTCACAGGGAGATATATAAATTGCCTCCTGTATTACAGTAGGAGTTTTCATCAAAATATTCTATCAATTGAGAGATTATGTGTAGTATTTCTTTAGATATAGGCCATTAATTGGTGGCACAGGCCTTTGACCAGAAATATCTATAAGTTGGTATGCCCATCCTTCATATACCTTTTCGATAATGAAGGGTCCTTCCCATATTGGGTCGAATTTACCACCGATTCGACGATGGGGAATTATGGGTCTTTTACGAACTAGTACAAGTTCACCTTCTTTGAAACTCCTAAGACGGACCATTCGATCATGAGCCCTAGTCATTCGAGCTTTATAGATTTCTAAATTTTGTTGGGCTTGCAGCCTAGTTTCATCTAAAGCTTCAAGTTCTTCCAACCTTAAAAGATTATTCTCTTCTCTGGTTAAGTCGTATTGTATAGCAATACGAAGCGACGATAACTCCACTTCGAGAGGTAATATTGCCTCTGTTCCAAAGACTAGAGAATATGGGGTAGCCTGTGTCGCAGTCTTATAGGTTGTGCGATATGCCCATAAGGCCTCCGTTAATTTATCGTGCCATTCTCTCTTATTTTTAGAAAGAATTTTCTTGAGCAGTTTAACTAAAGTCTTGTTAAATGATTCAGCCAAACCATTGGCTCTTGGGTTATATATCGATGAATAACGTCAATCTATATTATGACGCTCTATAAATCGATAAATTTTGGCGCTTTTAAAGGCGGTACCATTGTCTGATATAATTCGACGTGGTACGCCAAAACGATAGACAATATTATCTCGGAAGAATTTCATAACATTGTCTGCTTTAACTTCTCTTATGGGAATTGCTTCAGCCCATTTTGAGAAGTAATCTGTGGCAGCAAGGATGAACCGATGTTCTGAAGAAGAAGGTGGTTCTATAGGACCAATTATATCGGTGCCCCAGCTTTCGAATGGCCAAGATGCTACTGTAGGATGTAGCGGGTTAGGTGGCCGGTGTATAACATCAGCATGCACCTGACATTGATGACATTTCTTAGTATAGTTAATACAATCTTTAACCATACTAGGCCAATAATATCCCATGTGTTTGATTTTAATTTTCATTTTTGGTCCAGATTAATGCGCACCGCATAATCCTTCGTGGACTTCAGTTATGACTTTCTGGGATTCATTGGGATCCAAACATCGCAGCCATATTTGATCAAATGATCTACGATATAGCGTCTCATTTACGTAAGCATATCTTAAAGCTCTTTTGGATATTTGTGAGGCAGTAGATTTATCCTCCGGTAATCTACCCTCTTTAAAATATGTAATGAATGGTTTCCTCAAATCATTCTCATTCTATATATATAAGCACTTGAGTATTTCATTTTCTTCCTCTTATTGTAAGGAAGCAGGAGATAATGCATGTCTATTCTGGATGGTTATGATGATTGGATCCTCTTGGACATTTGTCATTTCTTTAGCTAGTTTTGCCAGCGCATCGGCTTTGCCGTTCTCACCTCGTGTAATCCTAGTTAGGGTTAGCTCGGGAATTTGTTCTAGGAGTTTCATGCTAGAAAATCAGCTAGAGCCTGTCCTTTCACTGCTTTTTGTGGCATATATGTTATGTCAAATTGCATTAGCAAGACAGCCCATTTAGCTAGACGACCAGTGAGAGTGGGTCTAGTCATTAGAAATTTTAATGGATCAACTTTAGATATTAAAGTGATTTTATGGGATAACATATAATGCCGTAGTTTTTGAGTGGCAAAGATCAATGCTAGGCATTGCTTTTCAATTGGTGAATATTTAGATTCTGCTCCTATTAATCGTCGACTGATATAATAAAGGGCATTTTCTTTGCCATCTTCATTTGTTTGTGCTAGCAATGCTCCGAGTGATTCTTCAAGAGCAGCTGTATATAGGATTAGGGGTTTCCCTGGGATTGGGGCAGCAAGGATTGGAGGATTCAATAGATATTGTTTTATACTATTAAATGCCTCTTGACAAGCATCGTCCCACACGAAAGGAGTATCTTTCTTCATCAATCGTGAAAAGGGTTGGCATCTACCCGAGAGATTAGATATAAATCTTCGGATATATGCCAATCTTCCTTGTAAAGAACGAAGTTGTCTTAGAGTTTTTGGAGGTGGCATTTCCACTATTGCTTGAATTTTATCAGGATCAATTTCGATCCCTCTATGGCGTACAATAAATCCGATAAATTTACCGGATGACACACCAAAAGCGCATTTAAGCGGATTCATTTTCAAATTAAATTTGCGAATCCTTTCGAATATAACTTTGAGATCATTTACATGTTCATGTTGATCTTTGCTTTTTACAACTAAATCATCAACATAACATTCTACATGCTTATGAATAAGATCATCAAAGATGCGGGTCATCATCCTTTGATAGGTGGCCCCGGCATTCTTCAACCCAAATGGCATAACCTTGTAACAGTATATGCCTATAGGAGTTCGAAAGGCAGTATGCTTTTCATCGTCTGGGTCCATTTTAATCTGATTATAACCTGACGATCCATCCATAAATGAGAACATATCGTGGTTCGACATGTTATCGACCATAAGTTCTGCATTAGGGAGTGGGAAATCATCCTTTGGGCATGCCTTGCTCAAATCTCGATAGTCAATGCACATACGAATTTGACCATTTTTCTTCCTTACTGAGACGATGTTGGCAATCCAGTCAGCAATTTTTTCTTCCCGAATAAAGTCAGCTTCAATGAGCTTTTTAGTTTCAGCGTTCACTTGCTCTTCAATCTCAAGTCGCATTCGCCTAGGTGCCTGTTTGATAGGTTGTACTTTAGCGTTGATAGAGAGCTTATGCAGTGCCACCTCTAGTGATAAACCAGGCATTTCAGTGTAATTCCATGCAAAACAATCTTTATACTCAACAAGAAGCATTTTTAGCTTTTCTGCTTTATCGTGTGGAAGATTCGCACTAATAAAGGTTGGCTTTGGTTCATCTTCTGTACCCAAATTTATCTCCTTGAGTTCATCCACAGTATCCTGACCACCTTCTTCAAATTCTTTTGGAGCTTCTTTCAGATCTACTATTAGATCTTCAGCTTGATTTTCGGGTTCGAGCTGTCCCTCCTCTTTATCTGTTATGTTGTAGGAGGTTGCGTATGTTAGACGCAGACGTTGGGGGTACTCAAGATAATGGTAGGATGCTGCTCGTGTGAGACATGACTGTCGAGCATATCCAAGCCCCCATGTTGTAGACAAACCATGACCCATAGGTTTTTGTGCATGCTCGTTGTGCCAGAGTTCTCTAAAATAACGAGCTCGTTTATTTGTTTGCACAAAGAAGATATTTTTCTCTATGAGCTTTCTCATGATGGGTGAAGGATATTGAGGAATAATTATCCACATATTTTCATAATCCCACTCATCTTCATTTTCTATTTCATGAGCAATATGACGTGGTATTACCTTTGATTCGTAGAAAAGGGATCCACGTTCATTAAGACTCCTTTGGGGAGGGACATAGAATGTCTTTAGCATTCCTATGTTTGTATTTATCGTGATAGTCAATGTTTTGGAATGCGCCACTGGCATAGGTACTATTTTGATGATATTTGTGGATATCTGCTCTTCATTTACCCTTATCATCGAAATTGACATATTTTTCAATTTCTTAGATATAGAACTGGGTTCTGGATCCCTTTCCTCTGAAAATTCTGTAGTACCACTGGGCTGATAAAGAAATTCTTCTTCTTCCTCTATACTTGATTTGCTCAAACACCGCACTTTATTTGCATGACTAGCTTTACAATCCAGAGGGATAGCTGATAGTTCATTCTTTCGTTTCCCTATGATTAGGGGTTTGAAAGTTGCAGAGATATTATCATCCTCTTCAGTATCACTACCAAGGTGAGGCACTGAGCAGATTTTCTTCAGTTTATCCTTGCCTTTATCCAGCATAGCAACTTGGATTCTCGGAAGATTGCTGCCTTCTAGCTTTTGAGCTATAAAGTACTTAGCATCATCGTAGATTTTGATTTCGTGCACCAAGAACGGTTGTTCATCACCATCGATGCGATGTTCTTCATTATCTCGATTGTACTTCATACATTGATGAAGTGTTGAAGGCACTATGCCATATTCGTGGAGCCATGGTCTTCCGAGAAGTGCCTTGTATGATGTATTGGAATCAATTACGTGGAATCTTGCCTCTGTATATAGCTCTCCAAAACTTAGAGGTAAAACTACTGATCCCAAAGTTCTTTGCCCTTGTTCATTGAATCTTTACAGGAATACGGTGCTTTTAGTTAGGTATTGAACATCTAAGGCTAATCCTTTGAGCGTTCTGAGGCTCATTAGATTGACTGAGGAACCTGGATCGATCAAAATTCTATTAATTTCTGTGTTGTTACTCTCTGCAGTGACATATAGTGGTCGATTATGATCTGTCGTTCCCAGGAGCAAATCACTATCGCAGAAAGTAACTGTAGCAATATTTTGTGTATATAAGGCTTCTTTTAGGCTTTGCTCGGCAAAGAACGCTTCATACTGCTCAGGATTTTGCAAGGCTT